ATAGTTAATTTATTTGTAGATTTTTTTTTTATGAATTATTCATTGCATTTATATAGCGCCTTTCATGCCCAAAGCACTTTACAGAACATTATTCATTTACTCCACACTTGCTGGTGATGAGCTGTTACTGTAGCCACAGCTGCCCTGGGGCAGACTGACTAAAGTGAGGCTGCCAATCTTCACCATCGCTCCCTCCGACCACCATCACTCACACACACACCACTTTCAGACTAGGCAATGTGGGTGAAGTGTCTTGCCTAAGGACACAACAACAGTTTTTGTCACTGGTGCCTCCTGTGGCTCCTGATTTTCCCAGTGTCTCCATCCAAGTCCAGACCCAGACCCAGACCCAGACCCAGACCCAGACCTGCTGAGCTCCTGAGATCTGACGGGATCAGACTTTGATAAGCTGGTGTGGCTATAGTTATGTATAAAAAATAGTTATACTTCATTAAAACTTGTCAGGTAGTTTTTGTTTTTTTAAAAGATTTTTTTCAGATCGACATAAGATTAATGTTGTTTTTTGTTTGTTTGTTTGTTTTTTTTGGTGGACTGTCTGTCAGATGCTTTTAACCGTGGAGATGTTATTGCTTTGTCTGTAATATTCCACAGTACGGTATTAAACTTTTTTATCTTCATGGAGACCAAACCAGACCAAGTTCCAGGTCAGATCTGTGGAGAGGCGACTCCGCTCACAGTCAAAACGCCTAATTTAATGTTTTTCTAGGTATTTTTGAGCTATAAAACCTGCACCTGTGATTGAATAAATAAATGTAAAGTCGAGCTGTTTAAAGTCACACTGCGGGACATTTTAACCAGAGCAATGACGTATCCATAGCAACAAGAAGGTGACGAACCCCCAACCGAAAAGTTACACAGTGCACAAGATACAAAATATTTAAGAATAATTTTGAAATAAGTCAATTTTGTCAACGCAGCAGTTGCACTATTTTACTTATTTTTATTTTTACCAATAACTTTTCATGACGCATCTGGACAATTCTTGGACAATAAATCTAAAAAAACATTCACAAAATAAGATAATTCTTAAATTTAAAACCACAGAAAATTAAAGCATTTTGTTGTTGTTGTTTTTTTGTTCCTAATGGATGTTTTTATTCAACTAAATATCGTAGAAAACACGTTTCCTTTCCACAAACCTCACTCTTCATAATGCTTCATAATGGTTTCATAATGTTCCGCAGGGTGGCATTAAACCTTTCTATCGTCACGGAGACCAAACCGGACCAAGTTACAGGTCAGATCTGTGGAGAGGCGACCCCGCTCACAGTCAGAATGTCTGTTTTTCTTGGTATTTTTCAGCTGTAATTGAATAAATAAACTTAAACTAGAGCTGTTTAAAGTCACACTGCGGAACATTTTAACCAGAGCAATGACGTATCCATAGAAACATCACCAAGACACTGACGACACGAGCTGGAAAGTGTGAATAAACCGCTCCGTGGCCTCCGTTTGCAGCAGATGTGACATTATGAAATCATACCACTTGACCTTCGCGTGATTCGTCGAGGTTTAAAAACGCCACGCGCCCTTTCCCCGTTTCCTCGACTCGTTTCGCGAATAAAAGAGTGTAAAGTCCTTCGGTTTTCTTCGGCGGCGCTTTGTTGTCCTCTCGAGTGGCGCTCTCCAGGTGCGGCGCATGAATATTGATGGCGGCGCTTTGTTAACGTCTGAAAAGAAATTAACGAGGTGAGCGGCTAACGACGGGCGCGTGAAGAGCCATCGAAGACGCGAGCGCCGTTTAAGCGTTTAAGCTCGCGGGTCGGAAAACACTCGAAAAGAGACGCGCCAAGAGTCGAGGGAGGAGCCGGTGTTTTCAGAGAGCACAGCGCCCCCTGGAGTTTAATCATGAATCTGTTTAAGTCTGTGCACTTTGAAAAAAAACAAAAGACATTTATGATTCTTTAATATTTGATCGGCTCAAAGTGAAGAATCTGTGTCGTTTGTTTTTCAAAATAAAACTAAAAATAAGAAAATGAAAAAAAATTTTTTTTACTATTTTCTTCGTTATTTGTCTCCAAAACCAAAATTTAAAAAAAAAAAAAAAAAAAAAAAAAAAAAAAAACTGATAAAGATTTGTTTTTTCAGTTTTTGATTTTGTGTTTAAATGAAAAATGTTTAAATGAAGAAAACTGACTGAACCAGGACTAAAACAGGTCTGTATTCTAAACAGGGACTGACTGAGACCAGGACCGAGACCAGGACTGAGACCAGGACCAGGACCGAGACCGAGACCGAGACTGAGACTGAGACCAGGACTGAGACCGAGACCGAGACTGAGACCGGACTGAGACCGAGACCCGAGACTGAGACTGAGACCGGACTGAGAGGACCGGACGACCGAGACTGAGAGGACTGAGACTGGGACTGAGACTGGGATTGAGACCGGGATTGAGATCAGGACTGAGACCAGGACTGAGACCAAGACCAGACCAGGACCTGACCCGGACCTGACCAGGACCTGACCAGTACCAGACCGTAGTTGAGACTGGGATTGAGACCAGGACCAGACCCGGGACTGAGACTGGGACCAGACCAGGACTGAAAACAGTTTAGTCCTGGTTTAGTCATGGTCTAGTCCTGGTTTAGTCCTAGTTTAGACCTGGTTTAGACCTGGTTTATTCCTGGTTTAGTCCTGGTTTAGATTTGGTTTAGTTCCTGGTTTAGTCCTTGTTCAGTCCTGGTTTAGTTCTGGTTTAGACCTTGTTTAGTCCTGCTTTAGTCCTGGTTTAGTCCTGTTTAAGTGCTGGTTTTAGACCCGGTTTAGTCCTGGTTTAGTCCTGGTTTAGTCCTGGTTTAGTCCTGGTTTAGTCCTTGTTTAGTCCTTAGTCCTGGTTTAGTCCTGTTAGTCCTGGTTTAGTCCTGGTTTAGTCCTGTTTAGTCCTTAGTCCTGTTTTAGTCCTGGTTTAGTCCTTTAGTTTAGTCCTGTTTAGTCCTTGTTTTAGTTTTAGTAGTCCTGTTTAGTCCTGGTTTAGTCCTGGTTAGTCCTGGTCCTGGTTTAGTCCTGTTAGTCCTGTCTGTTTAGTCCTGTTTAGTCCTGTTTAGTCCTGGTTTAGTCCTTGTTTAGTCCTGTTTAGTCCTGCTGGTTTGAGTTTGACCTTTAGTCGGTTTAGTCTGTTAGTCCTGGTTTAGTCCTTGTTTAGTCATATTTAAGTCTATCTTGAGTCCCAGATCTTCAGACAGAGCGGTGCCTCTAGTTAGCTTCACCCTGCAGCAGAATACAGACGACAGAAGAGTTTGAAACACTGAAAAAGAAAAAGCAGACAGATATATTTGAGTCGGGATCCGCCTCTGTGTTTGTCAGACTTTCTCTTCCTCGTCTCGGCCCTCGGAGTGTTTTGTTTTGTTTTTTTTTTTTTTCGCTCCTCTCACTTCAAACGCTCCTGTTATTTCTCTCTATCTCCAAAAACAACTTGTACTTCGGGCCTTGTTGTTTTGTTGTTTTTTTTTTTTCCGGTTTCTTCCCGTCGCTCCGGCTCTCGGCGTAGCGCTCCATCTCGGGTGAGGGCCTCTCCACGCCGCGCTCCGACGCCGCGCTCCGACTCGCTCCGACGCCGCGCTCCGACTCCGCGCTCCGACGCCGCGCTCCGACTCCGCGCTCCGACTCCGCTCCGCTCCGCGCTCCGACTCCGCGCTCCGACTCCGCGCTCCGACTCCGCGCCACGGACTAATCAAAACTTACAAATTGCGTCTCCCTCCCGGAATCTGCCTCGTCTCCAGGAGAGAGAGAGAAGCGGACTAAACCAGGACTAAACCAGGACTAAACCAGGACTAAACCAGGACTAAACCAGGACTAAACCAGGACTAAACCAGGACTAAACTAAAGGACTAAAGGGACTAGGACTAAACCAGGACTAAACAGGACTAAAGTAAAGACTAAAGCAGGACTAAACCAGGACTAAACTAAACCAGGACTAAACCAGGACTAAAGGACTAAAGGACTAAAGCAGGACTAAACCAGGACTAAAGCAGACTAAACCAGGACTAAAGCAGGACTAAAGGACTAAACTAAAGGACTAAACCAGACTAAAGGACTAAACCAGGACTAAACCAGGACTAAACCAGGACTAAAGCAGGACTAAACCAGGACTAAACAGGACAGGACTAAAGCAGACTAAAGACTAAAGGACTAGGACTAAACCAGGACTAAAGCAGGACTAAAGGACTAAAAGGACAGGACTAAACCAGGACTAAAGGGACTAAACCAGGACTAACTAAACCAGGACTAAACTAGGACTAAACCAGGACTAAAGCAGGACTAAAGCTAAACCAGGACTAAACCAGGACTAAACCAGGACTAAACCAGGACTAAACCAAGGACTAAACCAGGACTAAACCAGGACTAAAGCAGGACTAAACCAGGACTAAAGCAGGACTAAACCAGGACTAAACCAGGACTAAACCAGGACTAAACCAGGACTAAACCAGGACTAAAAACTAAACAGGACTAAACCAGGACTAAACCAGTAAACCAGGACTAAACAAGGACTAAACCAGGACTAAACAAGGACTATACGAGGTCTAAACCAGGTCTAAACCAGGTCTAAACCAGGACCGAGCAAGGATTTTCGAAACCTTTACCAAATTTTTGAAAACTTTACAAACTTTTCAAAACTTTTACAAAATTTTGAAACCTTTACAAACTTTTTGAAACCTTTACAAACTTTTAGAAACCTTTCCAAACTTTCCCAAACTTTTTGAAAACTACAGACTTTTCGAAATGTTTACAAACTTTTCAAAACTTTCCCAAACTTCTCGAAACCTCTCCAGACTTTTAAACCTTTCCGAAACTTTCCCAAACTTCCCAAACTGGTTCCTCGGTCCTGACGTCTGTTCTTTTTCTTTCTTTCTCTCAGGTGCTGTTGCCGCCCCATGTCGCCTCCAGTGGACGTTTTGTGAAGCGCAGCATGTGGACCGACCCGAGCGCCTGACGCCCGAACACCGGACCTGTTTTTAACCGAGCGTGGATTCGAGCGGCGATGGCGACGGCGCGGAGGAGGCTGTTGGCGTTGGCGCTGGCGTTGGCGGGGGCGGTGGTTTTTCTTGGCGTTCCCGGGTCCGGACTCAGGTCTGGACTCAGGAGGACTTCGTCGGGGCGGTCGCGGGCGTCCGGGGGTCTCACCGGACACGACGCCAAAGGAGCGCCGCTGAGGAGGTCCAAACGGGGCTGGATGTGGAACCAGTTCTTTCTGCTGGAGGAGTACACGGGCACGGACATGCAGTACGTGGGCAAGGTGAGACTTTTAAGAGACGATTTTTATATTTCTAGTTTCTGATCGATGTTCTGTTTAAGGCTCGACCGATATGGATTTTTTTGCAGTTGATATGAAACCGATAAAAATTAAACACATCGTCTCCTTTGTCGAGATTGTTGCAGCTCCTTCGTCTCTGGCCGCAAGTAAAACCAAAAATAAGAAAATGAAAAAACAGCGATTTTCTTCATTATTTGTCTCCAAAACCAAAATGAAAAAAACAGATAACGGATAATGGACGGAACCAGGACTAAACTGGTCTCAGTCCTGGTCTCAGTCCTGGTCTCAGTCCTGGTCTCAGTCCTGGTCTCAGTCCCGGTCTGGTTCCGGTCTCAATCCTGGTTTCAATCCCAGGTTTCTACGCGGGCAAATTTCATTCAAGCTAAACCAGGTCTAAACCAGATCTGAACCAGGACTAAACCAGGTCTAAACCAGGACTAAACCAGATCTGAACCAGGTCTAAACCAGGTCTAAACCAGGTCTAAACCAGGTCTAAACCAGGACTAAACCAGATCTGGTCTAACCAGGTCTAAACCAGGAAACCAGATCTAACACCAGGAAACCAGGTCCAGATCTGGTCTAAACCAGGTCTAAACCAGGTCTAAACCAGGACTAAACCAGATCTAAACCAGGTCTAAACCAGGTCTAAACCAGGTCTAAACCAGGTCTGAACCAGGTCTAAACCAGGTCTAAACCAGGTCTAAACCAGGTCTAAACCAGGTCTAAACCAGGTCTAAACCAGAAAACCAGGGTCTAAACCAGGTCTAAACCAGGTCTGAACCAGATCTAAACCAGGTCTAAAAGGACCAGGTCTAAACCAGGTCTAAACCAGGTCTAAACCAGATCTGAACCAGTCTAAACCAGGTCTAAACCAGGTCTAACTAAACCAGGGTCTAAACCAGGTCTAAAAACCAGAAAACCAGGTCTGAACCAGGTCTAAACCAGGTAAAAAGGTCTAAAACCAGGGACTAAACCAGGTCTAAACTAACCAGGTCTAAACCAGGTCTAAAACTAAACCAGGTCTAAACCAGGACTAACCAGGTAAACCAGGTCTAAACCAGATCTAAACCAGGTCAAACCAGTCTCTAAACAGGTCTAAACCAGATCTAAACCAGTCTAACCAGGTCTAAACCAGATCTAAACCAGAAAAACCAGATCTAAACCAGTCTAAACCAGGTCTAAACCAGATCTAAACCAGGGTCTAAACCAGGTCTAAACCAGTCTAAACCAGGGTCTAAACCAGGTCTATTGGGTCTAAACCAGGTCTGCTGAAAACCAGGTCGGTCTCTAAACCAGGTCTAAAGGTCTAACCAGGGTCATCTGAACCAGGTCTTGAACCAGGTCTAAACCAGCTTAAGGTCTAAACCAGGGTCTAAACCAGGAACCAGTCTGAACCAGGTCTAAAACCAGGTCTAACCCAGGATTTGAAACCTTTAGTGGTCTAAACCAGGTCTAAACAGATCTGAAACCATTCTAAACCAGGTCTAAACCTGTGGTTCTAGTCCTGGTTTTAGACCTGGTTTAGATCCTGGTTTAGTAGATCCTGGTTTTAGACCTGTTTAGACTGGTTTGGTTTAGACCTGTTTTAGACCTTGAGTCCTTTTAGGTCGTTTTAGTTTAGTCCTGGTTTAGTCCTGGTTTTAGTTTGATCCTTTTTTTGGTTTTAGTCCTGCCCTGGTTTAGACCTGGTTTTAGTCCTGTTTTAGACCTGGTTTAGACTTGGTTTAGACCTGGCTTCAGTCCTGGTTTTAGTTCTGGTTTAGTCCTGGTTTAGATCTGATTTTAGTCCTGGTTTACACCTTTCTTAAGACCTGGTTTAGACCCGGTTTAGACATGCTTTTTGTCCTGATTTTAGTCTTGGTTTAGTCTTGGTTTTAGACCTGTTTTATACCTGGTTTTCATCTTGATTTTAGTCCTGTTTTAGACTTGGTTTTAGTTCTGGTTTAGACCTGGTTTAGTTCTGATTTACACCTGTTTTAGACCAGTTTTGGACCTGGTTTAGACATGTGTTTTGTCCTGATTTTAGTCTTTTTTTTAGTGTAACTTCTGTTTAAACTCTGCAGATTTTCTCGTCTCTTTGACAAACCTCCTGAGCCCAAACTTTCGCTCGGTTTCCCGCTCTGTGTCGGGAGCGTCGGGAGCGTCGGGAGCGTCGGGAGCGTCGGGAGCGTCCGGAGTGCACTTAAACACGAGCACAGTGTAGAGAAGTGTTACTGCATCGGCGCTCGTCCTATTAGTGCGGATATGAAGTCCTTTAGCTCGGCGCGGCGCAGCGGTCGCTCCGTTCACACACATTTACAACTTCTACAGCACCGCGCCGTGTTTTATAACCACAACAACTCTTTTATTTGTAACTTTAGGACTGTGTAAACTGCGGAACTCAAGTCGCGATCGTTATTTTTGCTCCAATTAATTACAAAAATACTTTTAACGAAGCAAAATCTACTTCTGCAGTCACATATTAGTGTAAATAAAGTGTTCGTGAGATAAAAATGCTCTGTGTATCTTTTCTAGTGGAGGGTCTGATACCTGCTCGACTCCGTGGAGATGTTGGAATTTTCTGGCGCTAAACTTATTTATCACAGTGAGACAAGTTACAGGTCAGGTTTGTGGAGAGGCGAGCCCGTACACTAGGGTGACCAAACGTCCGTTTTTCCCCGGACATGTCAGTATTTTGCGTCCTTTCCTGAGCGTTTGTTTTTTTTTTTTTTTTAAAGGTTGTATAGAAGATTTTCCAAGGAAAGAGAAATGCAGCGACTGTTTTTTCCATTTTCAAATGTCGCGCTTCGTTCCTCTTCCCCTTCTCTTCTTCTTCTTTCAGCGACGTCAAAAACGGACTTTCTTTTGTGGCGAACTGGTCGTGAATGCTTCTCTGCCGTTACAACAAACTTTATGCAAAACTTTGTGCGAGAGGAAGCTACAGTGCGTGAGAGGCGAACGAAAACCACGTAATCCCCGCGCGCCGGCAAGTCAGTGACGCTAGAAACGTAGGGAGTTTGATTGACAACCTAACAGCCAATAGATAAAGAGGGAGCCTCGTTTCCTATTGGCCGATGTTTATCTGCCCACACCACACTGACCATAACCACAGTTGATGGATTTTCATACTTTTTTTTGTTTTTCGTCATCATAATTACAAGGCTGCTGCGTCTCTGTAGTTTTATTTTGAACTTTCATTGACAATTTGAAACAAACAAAAAATCCTCCATAGAACCTTTAAGTGATGCAAATAGTTGGAAAAGTTCGTTTGGACCTGCTGTCTGTTGCACCGTTTGGGGCGAGACCGGAGGCTCAGAGCCCACGGCAGGGCCGGAGCTCGAAGCGGAGGCTCGGAGTCAAAGCTCGGAGTCCGGTCTGGTCCCAGTCTGGTCCCGGTCTGGTCCCAGTCTGGTCCCGGTCTGGTCCCGGTCTGGTCTTGGCCTCAGTCCCCTGGTCCCGGTCTCAGTCGTCTGGTCCCAGGTCTGGTCCCGGTCTGGTTCCGGTCTGGTCCCGGTCTGGTCTTGGCCTCAGTCCCCTTCTGGTCCCGGTCTCAGTCCCGCTCTGGTCCCACTCTGGTCCCACTCTGGTCCTGGTCTGGTTCCGGTCTGGTCACGGACCTGGATCAGTCCTGGTTCAGTCTGTACGCGGTGCAAAAGTTCAGCATCGCAGTCACGCAGTCACGGAGTCACGTAAACAGGAAACGGCCGTTATCCATTTTTTCCATTTTTCATTTAAACACAAAATCGAAAACTGAAAAAACGAATCATTATCTGTTTTTTCATTTTGGTTTTGGAGACAAATAATGAAGAAAACTGTTGTTTTTTCGTTTTCTTATTTTTGGTTTTATATTGAAAAACGAATGAACGAAACGACACACAGATTATTTTGTGTCGTACAGGAGCTTTAATTTTTATCGACAACAATAAAACGTTGATATAATTTCCTCGGGTCTCCAGTCCGACAGCGTTCCCTCCTCCCTCCTCCCTCCTCCCTCCTCCTCCTCCTCCTCCTCCTTCCTCCTCCTCGTCCCTCGTCTGATCCTCGTGTCGTTCCAGATTCGGGCTCATGTTGTGATTTTGTATGAGAGCTGACGGTGCGCTCTGATTGGCTGACGGCCCGTGCTGTACTTCCTTCCTGCGTTCTTCCTCGGGGTTGGGTTTTTTTGTTTTTTTTTTTTTTTTATGTCTGTTGTTTTTTATTCCTCCTCTCTCTCTCTCCGTCTTTGTCCTGACCGAACATGAAATCTGACAGTTATCGGACGGACGCTGGAGCGATGTCCGATCTCATAACTCTGAAACGAAAAGAAGAGAAACAGAGACTAAAACGCAGATAACGTCAATTTAAAAACGCATTCTGTAACTTTTCTCCATGGAGATGTTATTGTTCTGTCTGGAATGTCCCACAGTACGGCATTAACCTTTCTATCTTCACACTCACAGTCAGAATTTCTGTTTTTCTTGGTATTTTTGAGTTTTAAAACCACCTGAAATTGAGTAAATGTAAAGTCGAGCTGTTTAAAGTCACACTGCGGAACATTCCAAACAGATCAATCCAATCCAGCTTTATTTGTGTACCACATTTTACCAACACACTGGAAAAAAAACAATATCTAGGCAAATTAAAGTGACTTAAACTATGAATATTTGACTTTATTTGAGTCGATTCAATTTGAAAATTAAATTATCGACCGATGGAATAAGTTTGTTTTTCTTAATTCAAGCGACAATTTATTTTGTTTCTTATTTTAAGAGCAAAAAGTTGTATTTTCATATTTTATTTATTCATTTTATTTTTTACATTATTTTATGTTATTTTATTTATTTTTTATTT